ATCCAATGGGGCCACGAGAAAGACGAGCCGAGTACATGGAGGCGCGCAGAGCAACCTCAGACCCGGGCCAGTACGCCTACAATGACCCCGGATATGTCAGTCCAACTCCCCCTCGCGGTTCCAGAGGCACCAGACTGCCGTCATCCACGCCAGGACGAGGATCCACGTCACCGGGAGCCCCATATGCCCGATACAGGGGAGAAGACAACCTGCCCAACGATGTCTTACCATGGGTTCTCGATCCACCCAGAGGAAGGAGAACGCCTACACTGAGAAGAGCGCCGAATATACAATGGGATCGTTCGGGAGGGCTCCGCACAGTGGCGAGTTTCACTTCGACGGGAGGGTCTGCCTCGGAAGATGAGGCCGGTGTTGATGGCCGGGATAGAGATGGACAGCCAGAAAGCAGCCGAGCGGCAGCGTCTCGCCCACGCTCTCACAATATTTATCCTCGACACCCCCAGAGAGGGCTAAACGGTAAGACTACACACATGCCATACGACTGCATCTTACTGATCAGTGGTACAAGTAGTTCCTCCACTGCATGAAGACGACTCGACTCGCCCACGCTCTTCAAATCCAACCCTTGTCCGCCAACTCGAAAGAGGCGAGCTACATGAACAGCTACGAGATTGTAAGACTGCCACCATCACCCTACATTCATGATCTTGACTAATCAGCAATACATATAGTCCCTCAGCCTCCTCAGAACGACACTCAACTCCGCTCGCGATCCCCACCCAACCCCTCGCCCCGCGTCTCACTCGACTCAGAAACCGTAAACCCACTCCAAAATTTTCGACCCCATGCTTTGAGTCCCATAGAAGAACAGGTTGGCAGGAAGCCAGTCCCTTCCCAAAACGTCCCAGACCTAGTCAAGTCGCGCCGATACCGAAATCGCCGACATGCCACAGATTCACCACCGACACCTCCGGAACCAGGCTCCCCGCGACCTCGGCCCCGTGGCAGACATTACCTACCCGATGAATACGATGGCGATAATGCCTCGTTGCGCGAAGCAGAGGCCTTGAGTGTCCAGCATGTGACGAATGAAGAAGTGCGAAGGAGCGAGAGGACTATCGGACCTCCCCCAAGTCGCGATAATAGACCAGAGGCTGGGCTTACCGAGGGCGATCCCATGCTGGAAAGGCTTTGGCGAGAATGGGAAGAGGATTATGACGAGCTTGCTCGCCGTGTACGGAAGCGGAACAAGGAGAAACATTCGTTGAAAGGGAAGGCGAAGAGGTGTTGGCGCAAGGTCAAGAAGTTCCTTGGGAAGCGCATAAGGGGTGAAGAGGTGTGGGTGTAGGGCATGTGGTACAGACGTGTCTATTAGTTCATTTCTAGTTGCCGACGCCGTTGTAGCGCCTGGAATATCAATGCTGGTCGATCGTGCTACTCTATCCTATGTCTGACAAGAAGTGATTCATCTACACATTGCATTCGCTAAAAGACATAGTAATACCATCTCCACAGAAGAGCCATGTTCCTTACTGGCTTACTGATACCAACTCTGCTCATCATAAGTAAACCCTTGCATGCCCATACCATTAAATCCAGCTACACCAAACCCATTCAAACTTGGGGCCGGAGCAGCACTCGCGTTCCCGTTCGTGTTCCCGTTCGTATACCCATTAACCCCATTGCCACCCACAGGCCCTCCGCTCATCTCACTGCTCATGACAGGTGCATTGGTGTTACCCTGGAATGCGCCCGCTGGGCTAGTGGTGTTTGCAAACCAGTTCGCAATATCGTCGATTCCTTGAGGATTCCAGTTCTCAAAGTCGGTTGCGAGCTGTGTCTGATCGCGATAGATCCAGTCTTGGCCTTCTCGTAGCAATTGGTCGACGCCGCCGAAGAGCTGGCTTGGAGAGCTGCCAGCGGTGGTCTGGCCATCAATGGAACGGCGACCTTGTGTGGATGCAGGTGTTGGCGCGTTGAGAGAGTTTGATGAGTTCTGTGGTGTGCTGACCTGGTGCTGATTGCGCATGTAAGCCAGGGCGTTTGCGTCGGAAGGAGGTATGGTGTGGGTGCTGGAGGGGCGCGCGGAAGGATCATTGCTTACGGAACTGGAAGTGTTGGCTGTGGCTTGGGCAAAGAACTGGGGTGTTGCCATGTTGGCCATGTTCATGCTGTATGGCTGGAGGCTTGGTGATGTCTGGCTCGCAGGCGACGGATGCTGATCTCTCATCTGTACGGATCCACGGCGAATTGCTTTCGGCGTACTGATCTCGTTCCAGGGGCCATACTTGGTATCTGTGCGGGACAACACTGTGGCAGCTTCTTCGGGCAGATCGACTTTCCAGCGTTTGGCCAGGACGCTGAGAATGCCGAGCGTCCGACGAGCACAGAGCCAGCCTTCCGCTATCTCCTCGAGATGCTTGACACCGTGTATTATATCGCGCTTCGCATTCTTCTCTGGTAGGTTCAGAAGATGTATCGTGCATGCCGAGTGTGTGATGTAGACACAGATGTTGCATATCTGGCGCAAGCCATGCGATCGTTTGTATAGCCGGAGCAACTTCGAGATCATGGCAGCAGCTTGTGTGCATAGTTTCCTCGGCGATACACTTGCGGGCAGTGGCGAGTTGTTCGGATTGTACTTGAGGAACGGTCGGAAAAGATGGATATACAATAACTGAAAGAACATGCTGCAATTGAGTTAGTACGTGTGCTTCCCTGATACGGCAGGTGTACTTACTGCATGACCAGCATGTGCGGCAAGCCGCCCTCCTTCGGCTCCAACTCCTTTGGTAAGTCCCTTCTCCATGTCTCCAAACGCATGTGTATCTCGCTCAGCTTCTTCAGCTCCGCCTGTCTGCCCTTGACCTTGTCCATATCGATCGGGTTGTAGAAGGAGTTCATGAGGTCGCTGGATATCTCACACAGCTTGGATATCTGGAGAGCGACTGCACGCGTCCGACTTGGCTGGGAGTGTGCTTGACTGAGACCGGAGTCTGTGACTGCGCTCCACGTTTCTGCATCCTCGCTGGGAAAGACTTCGAACTTCGGCACTGTAAGGATCGTGTTGGGTAGTTGCGGCAATCGTCCCATGTAATTACTCCAGCATTTGTCGAACAAGAAGCAGCCCCAGAACGTGATCCGCCGCGCGTCCTCTTCGTTGTCATCGATGGTGTCTTTGCTGTGCATACCAAGGTTCAGGCCGAGGTCGCAGGCCATGCGAAATGACATGCCACTGTAGACCCAACCCTTTGCTTCCCGCCCGCAACCAGCTTCCCGTACGGACATCAATGCTAAAGCTTGCACGGTCGTCAAAGCTGGCATCTCGTGCAAATCGTCCTCCATGATCAACCGCTTAGCTTCTTTGAAGAAGTGGTCGCCTGCCGTGGCAGAGTCGTCGCGGACAGCCCGGGCTGCAGGCCACGATGTGAAGTGACACCCCAATGCTAGCATAGCATTGACTAATAGTGGTGAACAGTATTGTGATTTCCTCCCGGATCCCAGCTGCGGTTTGCCTTGTTGAAATTCTTGCAGGAAGAGATTTTTCGACAGCGTAGTGAAGAAGCTATAGTGCCAGCAAAAGTACATGCTGATAAGATGCTGCACCAGCTCCGGGTCCGAAGTGACAGTCGTCCACGAGCAAAACGGGTCCTGCGCCTCCTGGTACTGATCCTCCGAGTATTTGTCCGGCGATTCCGCAGAGTCGTTGCCTTGGCCCAGGTATATGAGATGCGATGTGCCGCCGATGTATCTGGTCGATCCATCTTCAAGGCGCAGCTCGCCCATCTTCCCGCTCAGCTGGCTCTCGAATGTGCCCTTGGCCGGCGCCATGGTAGGCGTTGTGATCGGACTGATGGGCTCATCCTCGTCGTCTTCGCCGTTCTCCTTCGCTATGATAGCCTCTGCAACCGAGTCCAAGCTCTCGCATGTCCGTATCTGGTGTACTAGGTCGGCGACTTCCTCTTCCGGATAGTTCAGGATAGCCTGGATAAGCGTCTGGAGGGTGGAATTGCGCGTCTTGAGGTTGTCGATGTCCTTCTTGTAGACGCCTTTGCGGCGGTGGTCCGAGTTGGGGTCGTAGATGCACGGCGTGTTGTAGACGGCGGCACATGCAGAGCAGGCGGGAGTGGTACCGTCGCACTATGCGGCAGATTAGCGACTGCTCTCGTACAGGGCGCGTGGTTCCGAGGGGTTTGGTGATCATCCGGAGAATGTGTGTATACGCCGGAGAAAGGGCATCAGGGCCAATTCGCGTTACCTAACATACCTTGGACTTGCGCTTCCTGCATGGCACGCAGGCGGACGAGATGCAGCGGCGCTTCTTAGAGTCCTCGCTTCCGGCATCCCTCTTGCTCCGGCGTCCCTTCTTGTTGGGCGTGTCAGAGGCCGGGTGCGCTTCCGCAGTGGTGTTGTTCTCCATTACAGGTCTTGTCGGTTTACCGGAGAAGCAAATTGTGGGGGAATGGCGGGGCGCGCTTTGACGGGCCTCTTCTCACGCGACATTAATCAGCTTGCAGTGGATATGGCAGGCTGTGGAGGTCCGGGGCTCTATCTCGCGGGCTCAACATGGCTGGCCAAGGACAGGGAAGCGGGCGCAATCACGTCGGAATCGGCGTCGCATTGGGCTGGTGATGAGGGCCTACGCGACCGAGCTGCGTCGCTGAGGTACCTCGCTATCAGCAGCCCTGTCATTGGCTGGCTCTTCGGCCCTTATCTGGAGACACTTCTTAGCCGGGCGAACGCGTCCATGACTGCAGCAGAGGCGCGATAAAGCAACGAGGTAGTAGCACGTTTGCATCATTCGATAGCTTTTTAGCCCAAAAACAAATTCCCATCATGGACCCGGGAGGTCTCCAGCGCATCATTGGACGCTGGAGAAATCCTAGGAGTGCTGTGTAGACCGCCAGGCCATCCCGAAATCGAACTCCACGACGCCCAAACCAACGCCCGTAGTCCCCAAACCGACCCAAGAATGTTCAAAATCGCACTTTTTAGACGCCTGAATACCTCAAAACCCCTCGAAATCCCAATACCACACACTAGAGATCGTCGGCATAGCCCTCGTCATCACGATCAGCCCGGAAACCACCGCGTGGATCTGGATTGTCAACCATGATGAAAGGCCTACCATCGGGGTCCTCCTCCAAGTTACCGAACAGTCGCATCAGGGTGCGTGTATCCATTCTGATCGCTGTTAGTTATTGGTCGATCGATCGCCAAGAGAAATCAACACGTACTTCTTCATAGTCTTGCCATCGTCCTCCATGATCGCAGCAATCTCCTTGTCCTTGCGATCTTGCATGTTGATCAGAGTCTGGTCGACTGTGTTCTTGACGCAAAGCCTGCTCATGAAAGTTTCCTCGCGCTGGCCGATACGGAACACGCGGCAAAAAGCCTGTTGTTCGGAGGCCGAGTTCCACCAGGGATCGATCATGATGACTTTGGAGGCCATGGTTAGGTTGAGACCCACTGCAAGGAGTTAGCAAAAAGTCACCTAGAATATTGATTCGAAGCACTTACAGCCACCACAGCGGAGAGACGCGAGCATGATCTTGCAATCGGGGTTCTCGGCGAACGTACTGATGGCCTTGTCGCGGGCGCCCAGGCTCATTTTGCCATGGTACTGCGCAAGATGTTAGCAATAATCCACGATAGCTTGAGAATCAGGCTAGTGCCGGGAGGTATTCGCGGTTGAACTCAGCGTCAAACGAGCGTACGAAAGTCCATGTCGCCGTCTGGGTGGCACTTACTTTCTCAGAAACCCAACCTTCTTTTCGAAATACGGCGTCCAAAATGCGGATCCTATGGGCTGTTAGCGTCAATTGGAGGGGATGCAGGACACATAACCACTCACATGGCCAGAAACTGCGTGTAGACGATGATCTTGACTTGCTTGTTCTCCTTGAGCCAGTTCATGATCTGGCTCTTGACGGCAATCGTCTTTGCAGAGGGTAGAACGTCCTCGCCAGCCAGATCAAGCCATTCTCCTGATATTTCCTCGCGATCGAGGCGTGCGCGCTGTTTCTCTTTGTTCTTCTTCTTGTTGGCACGTGTACCTCGTGCTGGGGCATCGGGGGTATCATCCTCGTCTACTTCACAAGGGTGAATGTGAGTAGGGGTAGCACCGCACGCCTTGCATGCTGGAAATGCATCTGGGTCGTCCGCCTCAGCCATCTCAACGACCACGTTCTCAAGGCATGGCTCACTGCAGATGAGGTGGCCGCAGGACGTTATTTGTGGCGCTCGGGGTTGCCTGCCACACCAGGCGCATTGGGCCTTCTGCTTTGTCTTCTCCCAGCTCTCGCCAGTCTTGAGGCTGTTAAGGAAGGGCTTGAAGTTAAAGTCCTTGCCGAATCCACCACCTGCTTCTGATTGCTGGAAAATGTCATCTGCGGGGTCTTCGTCGATGGTTTCGTCGAAATCTTCTTCGAGTAGATCATCGTCTTTGTCGAAAGCGTTGTTGTTGGCGCCCTCGTCATCTGACTTGTAGTCCTCTCCTCGCTCTTTTGCGGCTTTCCTAGCAGCGTCTTTCCTTTCTTTGGCAGCTTTCTTCGCTGCCTCTTTCTTGGCTTCAAGATCGGCAGTCTTTCTCTTCTGATCAGCTGCGACCTTGTCTAGCTGCTTGCGAACAGCAATGATTGTATGTCCGCCTTTCTGGTTGCTAGTCTGAGCCTCTTTGTCGACCACCTCCTTGATGGCTTCGATGTCTTCGCGCTCGAGAAGGTCACGTATGACGAATTGGAGCATTAATATGTGGCCTGTCAGTTGCCGAAGGCGAAGAAGCATTCTATATATTGTTAGCAAGGTTGCGTGGGCTGGAAGTGGTAACTTACACCAACACGTTGCTGTATGCCTTGTCCAAAGTACCGTTCTGCGCCCACATGTTGATGCACTTGGCAAAGCGTATGCGGACGATGTCGTAGATGCTCCTCTCGACGGAGTTGAATTCGCACCAATAAGTTGACTGGTCGGCTTGAGGAAGCTTCAGAATGGGAGCGCCAAACATCTCATCCGCGTGGGTCCGTCGGATCATGAATTGCGAAAGGCGCACCAACAGCCTCTCAGTGTTCTCCTGGTTCTTGCTGTCGCAGTAGTTATTCTTGAAGATCTTGAAGCTGCCAGTGTGAGGAACATCAAGGAACTTGAAGTAGGGGTAGAGCTCCGTCAGGCTGTTGAGGATTGGAGTACCGCTGAGGGCCCATTTGTGGTGCGCCATGAGAGCTCGGCAAGCGATTGATGTCCGCGACATGTGGTTTTTGATAGCCTGGGCCTCGTCGAGCACGACACGCAAGAACATCATGCGGTGTAGAGGACCCCTCTGTTTCTCAAAGACCAGCTTCCACCAAGCTATCTTCTGCTCGGCGGTCTGGCATTCAATAGGCGGTTCGTTCTTGGGATACGACTGCATAATCTCGTGGTACGTAGTCAGAACGACGTCGTGTCCTGCTAAGATCTGATGGGCATTGGTCGAATCAAGGCGTGTACCGGCACCGTATCGCATGATCTTCATGTTGACCTTGGAAGCGTCGGTATGCAGTTCGATCTCGTTCTTCCATTGAGTCAAGAGTGCAGGACTGGCAATAAGTAGAGTTGTCCTGGGGCCTGTATCGCTCTTAGGCGGTCGACCGTTTATTATGTTCGCTAAAGGAGTCAATTTGGTTCGATGAGCTCTGTTTGGTTCACTTACCCAGCATCATAAGGGTCTTTCCAAGTCCCATCTGATCAGCCATCAAACCCCCTCTTGGCTCCTCGGTTGTGTTCTCTCGGCGACGCATAAAGGCTGTGCCAAGAACTTGGTAGGGCTTGAGTGAGGTGCTCATACCTTTGACTCGCCAGAGACCGCCGTCTGCCTTGACCTGAGCGTGCCCATCGAAATCCCTTGTTGCAGCCAAGAGGATGTCTATGTCGCGTTTTGCCTTCTTCTGCTCCGCGATAGGTACGCTGGCGATGAGCTCTTTTAGCGCATCGGTTTTGTTTCTTGATCTGAATGTGGGCTGCTCCGCTGCGCTAGTGCCGGCTTGTTGCTGGAAGACATTGGAGTTGAAAAGCGATGTTGCCTGTTTGTATGCGTGGTCCACCTCTTGTTTCTTTGCTGAAGATCTACCACCACGGGTCCTGATATGCTTCTTAGGGCCAGATTTCTGCTTCGCAGGTCCCTTTCCCTTAGAGCCTTTGCCACGACCAGAAGGCACAGATGCCTGTTCTTCTGCCGAAGCTACAGCTCCTTTCTGCTTCTTCCGCGATGCGTCGCCTTCAGCTTCAAGAGCCACTCGCATACTCTGAAACTCGGCATCTTGCATTGACCTAGGCTGCGCTTCTTTGGTGGGCATCGGTCGGCGGCGCTTGCGAGCTCCAAGGTCTTCCAAATCGAAAGCTTGGTCAGACTCCACCTCTTCCTCGATGTTCGGTGTGAGATTGAAATCTGGGAAAAGGTCAAATTGGCCGTCCTTCTCTTCTCTCTCTTTGGCAAGATCGCGAGCTCGCTTCTTTCTTCTGCCTTCCTCGTCACACTTGATCTTCAACCACTCAACATCCTCCAGGAATGATAGAGTACCCTTCTTCTTCCTCTGCTCATCGAAATAGCGCTTCTTCGCTTGGAAATCTTTGATCGCTTTCTTGTTCGCGAGATCGTCATCGTTGATAGCTGGAACAGCAGCGGATGAAGACTGTCCTGGCCTGACAGCCTCAAGATACGCCTCATCGTCAAGGTTGGAATTGGTCGGATATGCTGGTGTTTGTCTGCTAGCGACCAGTTTATGATGCTGCCGTTCTTTCTGCATAGCCCGAATCTTTTGTATGACTGATTGACCGGTCACCTTTGGACGAGGTGGGGTAAGGATTGGCGGAGTGGCGATGGGTGCGGCGGGTTCTTGTGGAGGCGTAATGATCTGGGAAGGGGGTTCGTCTTCAGGAATGAACAGCGAGTCAGGATCGCGCATTTGCTCGATTGAAGGCACAGGTGTGTCTTGATCGTGATCCATGTTCTCGACTTGTGATAGTGGGACCTGAGCATCGGCCATGTCGTCCTCACGATTAGACTCTGCCATAAGTGCGTCTTGATCATGATCGAGGTTCTCGCTAGTTGGTACCGGGAGTTGGGCGTCGGACACATCGATCATGTCATCCGGCTCGGCCATGATGACTGGACGTTGAGTTGGAACTTGAGTAGTAGTTGTGGACTGATTGAAGGTTGAGGTAGGCTTGTAAGACAGATGAAGAAAGAGGAGGATTGCGGTGTAGGAAGGATGGAGGAGGTGCAAAGAGTGAGGCTTTTATAGCCGCTCACAGGCGGGCGATGGAGCGGGGGAGCCAGGTGAGAGTGGTGCGCAGTAGATACTAGAGATTCGGACTGAGGTGAGAGAGTGGTACATAGTAGATGTCTGTCAAACGCTATTTGTGCCGTGTTCAAGTCGAGGTGAGTGAGCGCCTGGGAGCGCAGAATGTATATTCGTTGGATATCCACTTTGCACGACTCGCTGAGAATATCCTGGCCCCTTGAAAACAGCTGCGGCTGTGAATGAAGCATGCAATGTCGGCGACAAGCTGTTTCGAGATTCTGTGGTCTTGGGACAGTCTAACCAACTTGCGCGACTTATTGAGAGCCTCCTGGCCCCCTCAAAAGAGTTACGTCTGTGGCCCAAGAAGGCATTGTGGGCGCCAGACCCATCTGAGATTTCCTAGCCCCGGTTAGCACAGATACGATGTGCGCGGCTTGATGAGAACCTCCTCGCACTTCCAGAATACCTGTAATCGTAAGTGACGTAGGTATTGTAGGCGGCAACCCGTTTCGAGGTTTCCTGACTTTTGAATAGGTTAGCGCAGACTCATCATGATAATGCTCACGCAGGAAGAGAGCGGCGCCCGTTCCAAATCATACAACCCAAAGATTGCGATGCTTCGTAACCTGCAGCCCAGCTTCATGATATGCGTCTTGGACAAGTAACCATGTTAGACATCATTCTTTATATTTTTGTGGGTGTAAGGTGCTACAATACACCTGTCGTGTTATTGGGTATCGGAACAAATTCGAAAGGAAACGGCAGTAGGTGCAGTATGTATACCCATGTAAGCAAAGAAGACTCCCTATTCACCACCTCTTTCCGAAGAAACCCTACAAGTATGCACATGAAGAAAACAAAGAAAGAGTCTGCGAGAGACCTCGTCTAGCACTGGTTCTCCAAAATTTCAGGGTAGAACCAGGCAGCCAGTGCAATGATGATATAGCTGGCCATGAGCAGTATGCCTTCGAGCCAATCTGCAACTTGTTAGCAAAAGGCGCACAGGAGCAGGCTGGGGGAGTAAACTTACGTGACTTGCCGTCCTGAATGAGGTAGTTGACGAGCAATACCGAGACAAACAGCGTGACGATCTGGAAGTTGTCGAAGTATAGAGTCATGCAGTCTTTGCCAAGGATCCATCCCAAGATGACGATGAACGGGAAGACGAGAAGAGCAATTTGCATACTGGAACCGACAGCGACACCAATAGACAGATCCATCTTGTCCTTGATGGCGACAGTGACAGCGGTGGCGTGCTCGGCAGCATTACCGACGATGGGAAGCAAGATAAGTCCTACAAAGGTAGTAGAGATTTTACCGGTATCGGTAAGAC